AAAAAAAAAAAAAAAAAAAAAGTCAGTTTACAGTAGTCAGTAAATCAAAGACTAAGCCTGTCAATGCCCCAGGTCTACTGATCACTGTTCAGAGCATGTTAAATCCTCTCACCAAGAGGAATCAAAACCCAGGTCCATTTCAATGCACTGTTGCCACGGATTCAAAACTTGGAAAGCTCTTGGCAATGAGTTTTGAGAAAGATGAAGGCTACATGACAAATTCTTAAAAATCTGATTCAACACCAACAAAACTTTTCTGGGGCTCAACAATTGCAAAGATCACCTGCTCCCAGTTTGAAAACAACAACATGGATTGATGGAGGGATTGGGGCAGTTAATTAATTATTAGGCCATGTTTCTGAAAGATTTAACTATTAACAGTTCACCTAATGAAAACCAGCCGCTGAACAATCTTTGCCACATGAAAAAGGATGCCTTTCCTCGAACTAACACTGTACTGTAAAGGTTCATTGTAGCCAGAGAGGACTGATGTGTGGGTCTCCAAGTCTTAGAATTCCTCCTCTAACGGATTTAAGAGGCAGAAGCCTTCCTGCTGGTAGACATTTCCCCGCTCCAACTGCACTCCGCGTTAAGTGGTAGTGAAAGCTGCTTTGCAGCCCCAACCAAGAACGGGTAGCGCGTGTGGACCTCGTGGGCCCTAGGCTCTGCCTCCAAAGGGATGGCCCCGCCCCTTCCGCGTGTCCCCGCGCACAGAAGCACCAGGACTTACAGCTGCGGGATAGCGGAGGCTGGGGGCGGAGCTCACCCCTTGCCCTCGGGGCTCTGCAATTCCGCCAATCAGCGAGCGCCCTGTTGGCCGTCCGCAGCCTCCAGCGCCCCACCCCCTCCCGCCGGCCTCCGCGTCCCACAATCCAAGATGGCGGGCTCCAGGCGAAGGGGTTCCCCGGCCAGAGCTTGGCCGCTTTTCTGCGCCTTGCTGCTGACGATCAGTGGCTTCGTCGGAAGCGACGGCGTGGGAGGGGACCCTGCGGCCGCCGGCGCCGGAGGCACCCCGGCCACGCTGCCACATCGCCGTTTCGAGTACAAATACAGCTTCAAGGGCCCGCACCTGGTGCAGAGCGACGGGACCGTGCCCTTCTGGGCCCACGCGGGGAGTAAGCCGGGGCGGGGGCGGGGGTCCGGCTTCCCTCCGTCTGTCCGCCGCCTCCTTCACCCTGTCTCTGCTGACATCTTGGCGTCCTGAAGACCCCGTCCCAGCCAGATGCGCTAGGGAAGGGCCCCTGCTCAGCAGCCCTTCCTCCAGGTGCGCTCCGTTGCGCCAAGTTCCCTCCGCTTGCGGACCGGAGGGGACCTGCAGGAAGGCTGTTCTCCCATCTGCCTCCCCCTTCCTCTTGGCTTCCCTCCTGTGATCCCGTCGGCCCTTTAAGTTTCATCTGGAGGTGTTGTGTTACTCCTACACTTCAGCACTCGCTTCCCCGGCTCTGGGCATCACGTTTCCTGCTGCTGCCACGTCTCTAAGGGACACGTCCGCCCACCGCAGTCGTCCCACCCAGCGACCTGCTCGAGCAGCCCCGCGGCCCCTCTCCGGCTCCCCGAGTCCTCGCTCTGGCTCTTCGCCGGCGTTAATAGGGGTTCACGCTCCTGTTGGTGCCCATGCTCCTCCACCCCCCACAGCTCCGCAGCTCCAGCATACGTTGGTTTTACAGTAGTTTTTAAGTCTTTTTATGTCAGAAGGACATTCTTCTTAAACTGCTGGAGTTGCCTCTCCCATTGATTTGGTGTGTGATCTTTTCTCTTGTGTTAACTCATAACTTCCCAGTCGCAATCGTCCCTTTATTTAGGAGAAAGAGGGTTTTTATGGGGGGGGGCGTGTTTCTGAACCCTGATATTGAGCTTTTTGACACCTTTCTCTCTTCATTTTGGAGAACATGAAACAGCCTGTGCTCCGCGGTTTGTTCGCTCTGTGTGTTGGCACATTTCTAGATAAGAGACTTGTGGGAGCACTGACTTGGTGAAAGAACACATGTGCAGTTTTAGTGCTGATGTGTCACCGCTGACTAAGGGTTCAGCCACAAGCCCTTGGCATGCCGTAAACTGTTCAGTGACCATCAGATATACCCTTTGGAACAAGTGGCACATGCCTTTCTGTTAATGAGAGGCCATCAAGTTGGTTCCAACTCACGGCGACCCTATGTGACTTTATGGGGGGAAGGAGTTATATGGGGGACAATTTTAATTCCATGTTTGTTGTGCACAGAGTTTTAGATCATCCTGTACTTGAAACAAAATGTTGCATTTCTGGAATGTGATGACTGAATAGGAACATGCTTTGGGGAAGGCCTATTTCAGTGAAATTAATATGTAATTAGCAGGTGTAAACTTCAATTAAACTCAATAACCAAGTCATTAAGTATATGAAAGAGAGTGCAATTATGTTGTTACTCCGCAGACATGTATTGTATTATGTGCCCACTCTCTGCAGGAGTGTATTAGGGCATTTGTTATTAAGGTAAGGTTGTTCTTAATACACAAAGATGATGGAAATGATACCAAACACAAGTTTTTGGTTTTATTTATCTTTGGAGTGAGGATTAATTTTTCCGTGATGGGGATGAATTTATTCACACCTTTTCACTCCTGTACTTTGCTCTCCTCTTCTGCCTGCTCTTTTTCTCTCATGCACAAACCACATCAGCCACCCAAGACTTCATCAACTACTCAAATAAAAACTACTCAAATTAGTTACTTTGATTTGCCTTACCGTTTGTAACCGACTAAGCTAAGCTAGTCTACTGCAGAAATGTCAGGATCAGGACATTAACATTTCACGGCTGGACTGAATTTGAAATACTGAATTTGAAATCTGGCCGTAGGGGCAGCGGTGGTTTAGTGGTAGGTTTCTTCCTTCCATGCAGAGACCTGGGTTTGATCCTGACAGTACATGCTAATTATAGCGACCACTGCCACTGTTAGTGGAGGCTTGCTTGTTGCTATGGTGATGCATAGGGTTTGTTTTTTTTTTTTTAAGTGGAGCTTCCAGACGAAGACAGGCTAGGAGGAAAGGCCTGGTGATCCACTTGAAAATCAGCCAGTGAAAACCTATGGATCGTAATGGTCTGATCCCATCTTGCACAAGGTCACCTTAAGTCAGGGGCCAACTAGCCGGCAGCTAACGGCAGCAAGTTGAGCCGTGCCGTCTGTGTCTTCTGCTCCATGAATATCTTCCTTCTTTTATTGTCACTGTAATTTTTTCAGTCTCATTATTCTCTTAACTCCATTGATCATTTTTTTCCCTTTTTGACCCAAGTTCCATTACTAAAAACAATGAAAAATAGAGAAATTTAACATTTGCTTCAACATGGTTCTTTACTTTTGTCCCAAATTAGTACCATGTCTGTGCTTCTTTCTTAACTCTGCTGTCCTTTGGTACTGTCCGTGCAGATCCTTGGGTCCATAGGGCAAAAATTGATGACAATCTGTAACCCTTTACAGCACTCAGAGCTCTTTCACCTTTATTATCTGACTTGATCCTTAACAGGCAAATCAGGTGTTACCTGTGCCATAGATGAAAAACTGATACTCAAAAAGTCAAGGTTCTTGGAAAAAGTTTTTGTTGTTAGGTGCTGTCGAGTCAATTCTGAATCATAGTGACCACATATGGCAGAGTAGAACTGCCCACAGGGGTTCTTGGCTGTAGTCTTTACAGAGGCAGATTGATAGTGCATGTCAGTACACTAGAACTCACATCCAGGTCTTTTGATTCTGTGTCCAAGGCTCTATCCATGGTGCCTTGTCTCCCTGGCTCCCCCAAAAAAACCTTTGAGGGAAGGAGGTGATGGTAACAAACAAGGACTGATCTTACTAAAGTGTGTCATCTTTTCTTTTTTGTCAGTTTTCCTGCCTGCATAGTATAATGTTGTTAGGTGCCATCTAGTGAATTCCAACTCATAAAGACCCGATGTACAACAGAATGAAATACTGCCTGGTCTGAGCCATCTGCACACTCATTGCTGTGTTGGAGCCCTTTGTTGCCACTGTGTCAGTCCATCTCCTTGATGGTTTTTCTCTTTTTCATCAAATGCATCAGTTCTTCAGTCTTCCTTACTCATTGTCCAGCTTCTACCTGCATATGAGGCAATTGAAAATACCATGGCTTAGGGCAGGCACACTTTAGTCTTCAAGGTGACATCTTCACTTTTTAATACCTTAAAGAGGTTTTTTGCAGCATATTTTCCCAGTGCAAATACAACGTCTGATTTCTTGACTGCTAGTTCCAAGGGTGTTAATTGTGGATCGAGTAAAATGAAACCCTTGATAGCTTAATCTTTTCTCTGTTTATCACGATGTTACTTATTGGTCCAATTGTGAGGATTTTTGTTTTTTTTTTTCATATTGAGGTATAATCTGTACGGAAGGCTATAGTCTTTGATCTTCATCAGTAAGTGCTTCAAATCATCTTCACTTTCAGTATGCAGGGTTATGTCATCTGCATATCACAGGTTGTTAAAGAATCTTCCTCCAGTCCTGATGCTGCTTGCTTCTTCATCTGAGTAGCCAGCTTCTCAGATGAAGTGATAATGCAGTTGTTTATTTCCCAGCATTGATGTTAGAGCTGGTTAATATCTGAGAGAGTGTGCTAGAATTGCACCAGTTTTAGCACAGATAGGTACTTTAATGAGGAGCTCTGGTAGCATAGTGGCTAAAGCACTTGACTGCTAACCAGAAGGCTGGCGGTTCAAACCCACCAGCCACTCCTCGGAAGGAAGGTTGGGCAATCCTACTTCCGTAGTGATACTGCCTCGGAAACCTAAGGAGGGGTCGCTATGAGTCGGGCCGACTCGACAGCACATAACAACAACAACAACATTAATTGAAACATTTATATGCACTTATGTAGGCACTTAAATGCCTATGAGGTTGCTAGCAGACTTAGTGAAGTGGATTAGCTTGCCTAAGATCACACAGCTAGTAAATGGTGGCTCTGGGACCAGAGCCCAGACTAGCACCACAATCATCATTTTGGGGATCACCCTTATTTTTGTTAATTTGCTGAAACAGAAGAAATGTTTATTGAATTGCAATTCAGGTGGCCCTTTTCCTGGAAGAATGTACGCAGGCACAAAGCTTTGCATATCCTACCTGGGCTGCATACGGAAGTGATCGAGCTAAGTGCCTTCATTTTACAGGTGAATGTATGGTGAACTCAAGAAAAAGAGAGTGATTTGCTGAAAGTCACACAGCTGAACTGAAACTAAGAACAAGTGTTTTGATTCCTCGTGATACTAGGAATCTTTTCACAGTTTGAACTTTATAACATTTGTCAACTGGTAAAATGCATTGCAGTTTTTAAAAAATAATATACACATTATTTTGGGGGTATTTAAAAAATGAATCAGATAGTTGGTTTGTCTTTCAGGTCATAATTTCCTCCCACTCACCCCTTGACCTTGTAATATATGGTTACAGCTTTAATCTTTTTGCAGATACTTCACTGTTCAAAGGGTAAGGGGAGATTTGAGAAAGCCCTAAAGTTGCAAAGATGATGCTGTCAACATGAAATTTTTTCCTAACAAAATGATTGAGCAGGTTACTGGGTTAAAATGAGATCTCTCCAAATATACGTAGCAGCTCAGTGATGATTTGTTGAATTTTACTTAGTTATTACTTACGGCCTCTTTTCTCTTATTTGTTCTAGATGCCATTCCAAGTTCAGATCAAATTCGAATAGCACCATCTTTAAAAAGCCAAAGAGGATCAGTATGGACGAAGACAAAAGCTTCCTTTGAGAACTGGGAAGTGGAAGTGACTTTTCGAGTGACTGGAAGAGGTCGAATTGGAGCTGATGGCCTGGTATGACAACTTCCTTAATTTAGAAAGTGTATGTAAATGTGTATGCCACCAGCTGCTGATAGCTCTTGTGTATTTACAGGCAATTTGGTATACAGAAAATCAAGGCTTGGAGGGGCCTGTGTTTGGATCAGCTGATATGTGGAATGGTGTCGGAATATTTTTTGATTCTTTTGACAATGATGGAAAGGTACATTTAATTGTTAGAACTGTTGTCTACTTTAATAAATTAGGCTGTGAGAGAGATAGCTTACTTAGCAGCCAAATAGTAGAGAATTCTCCAAACTATTTAAATGTATTGCTTAATTTTAAATATGATGCTGGGATTTATAAATTTAAAGATAGGAGTACGCAGTTTGTTAAACGTTATGACTTGAGGTCAAAATGGAGCCCTAAATGTGAGAACTTTGCAATGACCCCTCCACCTCCTGTATGTGCCTAGTAAATGTAATGGTTACATGTGAGTCCTTTTGATGTAGGCAGTAAAACCTGCCGTGTTTAGAAAACTAAGTTTGCTCTCATGAGAAAACTACTGTTAACTCACATTTTACTATCTTTTTATCAGGCCCGTTTCTCTGATGATCTCTCCCAAAGAAGTTAAGAACAAAATGTCCTATGTGTTGGAAGCATACAGTTACTTGTGCGTTAGCAGCCCTAAGATTGGTGACCTTTGCTGGAGTTCGTTGTTGGTTCCCTCCTGCTTCTCAGAGGTCACCATGAGCAATTGAAAGGAGAACTTTAAACTAGTAACTCTTTGAAAGCCAAGGCCATGTTAGCCCTCCTCTCACTGAGTTCGCATAAATCCCACACTTGTGCCGGGCTCACAGTGCTGTTGATATCAAGAGTGAGTCCGTTTTGATTGAGATATTAAGGGACTCTGCTTTTATATGACTGTTTCTATTGGTGGGTTTTTTGGTTTGTTTTTAATAAGTAGAAATCTCTTGCATCAGTATTATTTTAAAATGTTAGTTAAGTCTTAGAATTTGAGAGATGTAAGAGACCTTGTAGCACACCCAGGATGATCTAGAATTCTTGATCTAAGGACTTTAAAACAAAACATTCTCTTTATTTTTAGAAAAATAATCCTGCTATAGTAATTATAGGCAACAATGGACAAATCCATTACGACCATCAAAAGTAAGTGTGTGGTTTTTACATTATTCCTGATTTCATCTTCTCTTTGGAAACTTACAAAATAGATTGTTACAAATCTGAACACTTTCCAAAAAGAAGAGTCTTCTTTTTTAAGACGTGGTTTGTAATTGGTAGGAAAGCCTTACTTTAATTTGGTTCTGTTTTAAAGTTCTTTTTGTGGACCACCTCGGGTTTCAGACTTAACCATGTGTAGTTTTATTTAAAATACATAATTTTTTTTTAATGGTTGTAAAAATATATCTGACACAGCGTTTGCCAATTCAACATTTTTCAGGTATATGGTTTAGTGTTATCAGTTACATTAATCCTGTCGTGCTGCGGTCATCCATAATCATTGCCAAATTTCTCATCACCAGGAACAGCAACTCGCTTCTTCCCAAACGGTGGCCCCTCTAGCCCTGGTACCGCTTATAAACTTCATCCTCTATAATTTGCCTGTTTCCTTTACATGAGATGAACAGTAGGACTGTGCCCTTATTTTGAGGGTGTGTGACATTCCTGGCTCTTCAGCTTCTGCATCTCCATTAAAATGGATCTTTCAGAAATAAAGTTCAGAGCTCTGACCAAACTGATGAGGAAGCAGTTCCACCTCACTGTTGTTAGGTGCTGTCAAGTCAATTCCAACTTTTTCATTCCAGTCACCAGTAATTACCAACACATCTTGATTGTGCATTTGGTCAGTTTCCGACCCCATGTACAGCAGAATGAAACACTGCCCAGTCCTGTGCCATCCTCACAATTGACCTTAGTATTGCTTTAAAGACTCGCAGTGGGTTACAAAGCTGCTCAGGTATTTGATCTGTTTATAATGTGTATGAGTTAGCTCGTTATGTTTTTATCTTTACATTATGGAGGGAGGAATTGCCTTAGCCACTCAGTGAACTGTAAGAACTACACAGGTTTCCCCTGCTGTCTGAAAGTACAGGATTCCGAAGAGACCTTTCGTCAGCTGAAATGATAAGTGAAGAAGCAGTTGCCGTTAATTTATATGAGGAAAATATTTGAACATTTCCAGACTCAAAAAATAACTTACCAAATCATACCAAATAGCACATAAACCCTAAAATAACACTGACACGCAGTGTTCCCAGACCGTTCACAGGTACGGCTACTCGCTGCTGAGTGTGGTTCCTGGGGAAGGAGCTGGGCGCTGCCTCTTTAGTGGCTCATTGCAAACATGTTAAACGCTCCTGTCACTTTGCACCTTTTTTCATCAAAGCAGAAATCCTCTTTGGATCTCTTTCAGTGAAAACAGGTTTTAACATAGGTCTTTCCTAAAAGGAAGTGGTGTAAAGCGAACTCCAAAAGTGGCGGGTACCTGTCCTTACTCATTCTCTTGTTGACTCTTTCCTGTCATGATTTTCAACCCTACTGGTTTGTCACAACTACCTGGATAGCTGAAGATAGAGGGAGGCGGGGAAGGGGGCCTTGGGCTCTGCATTGTGACAGGTTCTGTGAGTGGCTCAGATTCTGCCCTCATCTGGTACAGAAGAGTGTGGCCTCCCTTGCTGCAGCAATGCGTGGTAACACTGGGCTTCTGATGTTACCAGACTTGTGGTGGGAACCATGGAGACATTGCATGGCAACTTTGTGTCTTCTGAATAATTAGCTTGACATAGCCCAAGACTTGGTTGTAACTTGATACTATGTTGATACTTGACATTAATCATTTTACGTAATGCATTTTTAAATATTGGAAAACTTTCTTAAGTTATTCTTTGTTTTCCTCTTCCCCATACTATAGTGATGGTGCTAATCAAGCTTTAGCAAGTTGCCAGAGGGACTTTCGTAATAAACCCTATCCTGTCCGAGTAAAGATCATATATTACCAAAAAACACTGACGGTAAGTAACAGGCTCTCAGAGATACTCAGTGGACAGACAGGATTGAGTGGTTCTCAGTGTGAATTCTTGATAGACATTAAATGCACTTACATTGAATGTTGTTCGTGTGTTCCTCAGTGTTAGTACAAGAGAGCAAGTGGCCTCTGTGCTGGTATAAGTGGTCATCTATGGCAAAACCTGTCAGTAGGTTTGCGTTCAGTCAGTAAATGGTTAAACACTCAGCTGCGTGCCCGGTGTTATATACATACTCTGGTCTTCAAGGCTGCAAATGTAAGATGAAGGCCATTCTGAAAGAACTGTAGTCTAATGAGGGGAGACCTGTAACATTACGATGCTAGGTGAGAAATAATGCAGATACCACTAAGGGATCCAGGGATTCAGTGCCTGTAACCACCAGATGGGTGTGGGCTAGGTCGGAAACAGTTTCTCAGAGCTGAGCTGTACCTTGGAGGGGTATAGGAATCTCCTAGATTTGGAGGCCTATTCCAGTCAAAGAAACAGGCACAAGGACTTGAGAGAAGTTAAAATGCTTGGGAAAGGCAAGTAGTTTGCTATGACTAGAGACTAGAGGAGATCCATGGGAAGGGAGGTTCAACGGTTAGCAGTAATGTGGCTGGCCACATGTCACTGATCTTGTAAGGGACTGTTTAAAGGCTCTTGAGCAGAAAAATGAGGTGATCTGATTTGCAGTTCAGGAGGGTGATGTAGGCAATGGTGTTCTTATCATGGTATTTGTGAAAGGAGCAGAGAGGAAATCATTTTGATTCCTGGAATCTTATTAGGCTGTGCTGTGTGTTTAAGTTACGTGCAGTTTCTCATTTGAACTTACCACCAGGTTTCAATGAGAAGCTGAACTTGGACTGTGTCATGCCAGATAGGTAACAGAACTGGGATCTGAACCAAGCTCTGTCCTCACTGGAAGACCTCAACTGTGGTCTGAGCTCAGGTAGTGGCCAAGTGAAGACAGAGCTGAGTAGGGGTTAGAGACTATAGGAGTTAGTACCAGTTTGCTTGGGGCTGGGGTGGGAAGTGAAGAGAGGTGAAGATACTTGTGGAGTCAAAGATAGTTCCTGACTTTCTGGCCACTTAGATGAGTAATTGGAACCAATAACTGAAAAGGGGACCAGCAAAGAAACAGCCCATCTGTATGTGTGTATGCATGCTTGTGTGTGTGTGTGTGTGTGTGTGTGTAGGGGTGGGAAAGCAGAGAACTGGTTTAGTGGTAGAAGGTTGTGTTTCGGCTGACATTGAGGTGAATATATATCCAGTTGGCAGGTATGATAACTGAGATCACTAATGCAATGTGAGCTTTGTTTTTTAAAGGCAACAGTCAAAAATATTTGTATGAATTTTTCTTATCCCCTAATGATGAGCTAGCTTTCTCCTATGCATAAAACTCTTAAAAACAAGCAGTTCTTTGGGAACCTTGTTAGTGGCTCTCCTTTAAGTTAGAGATCTCACATAGAGGAAGAGTGCAGTCTCTGATGATTGACTTGGATTTGAGTTCTGCTGTAATTGTTAGACATTCCATCGCTGTCATTCAGGGTCCTCAGTAGTCACATTTGACCTCCCATGGCAGAACACCAGCTGTGGCAAGTACACCATTTACCTGAGTGCACAGCTTGCAGTGAGGCTGCCTGCGTGACCCAACCCAGTGAACCTACAGCATTCCCCAAGATAGTAGCCCTGCAAAATGTACTCCCCAAGAAGAGGTCCGTACTCGTTGAGAGGGCACCAGGCACTGCTGCACATACAGGCACCTTAGCGATTCGGGGAGGCCTCAGCAGAGAAACCTTTATTTAGCCCCACATTTTCAGACTGACTTGACCTTGCGATTCTTTTTTCACCTAGCATCTGTCCATGTCCTGGTAGAGGTAGCGTGCTGAAGGGCCCATGTTGACACTTGGCTGCGCACATGAATATGACTTACAGGTTCTCACCTTTGTGCGTTTGCTCAGACTGTCATCTCTTCCTGGAATGTGCTGTCCCCTTTTCTCTCTGCCTGGTAGAGTCACACTCTTCTTCAACACCTGGGTCAGATCCCTTTCCACTGGATTTCCTGAATATCACCTGTTCATGAACTACCTCTTAAACTTTTACAGTTTTTGTTTTTGTTTTTTTTGCTGACTTGACCTTTAAAGTCTGCTGTCACGAATTGCTAGTTAACTATGTGTTTATATGTCTTTTCTCATTGGTATGTTTGTAAACTTCTCAGTGCAGGCATTACACTTAGTATGCCTCAAAAAAATACCATTGCCATGGGTTCGATTGTGACTCACAGTGACCCTGTAGGACACAGTAGAACTGCCCTGTAGGGTTTCCAAGGCTGTAATCTTCGCAGAAGCAGATTGCCACGTCTTTCTTCCACAGAGCAGCTGGTAGGTTTGAACTGTCAGCTTTCAGGTAGCAGCCAACCACTTAAGCACTGTACCACCAGAGCGCCTTCTGTATGCTTCGTAAAACCCAGTGCCATCCAGTTGATTCTGACTGATAGCAACCCCCCTTGCATTTCCAAAGCTGCCCCTCCTCACTCACCTGGGTGTGGCGTCCCATCGCCCCTCCTCAGTCACCTGGGTGTGCCGTCCCATCGCCCCTCCGACCCCTGGCCACCCTGTCTGCTCCGTAGGGTTTTGAAAGCTATGACCTTTCAGAAGCAGATAATCAGGCCTTTCCAGTTCCCTCTGCGTGAATTTGAACCACCAACCTCTTGGCTAACCTTCAGGCACTTACCCATTGGCACCACCCAAGGACCCTTCTTAACTCATGGTACAATATGTAAACATCTTAAACCCTCCTCCTTTTTTAAAAAACAATTAGAACTAATGGTGAAGACCCCTAGTGGAGTTTCAGTTTGTTGAGATTGAAGTTTTTATTTCTGGAATTAGAATGTCTTAACGTGTAATTTTTTTTTTTTTTAAACACTCAAAGGGCGTGACGGTTGATTCTTATCCGAAAGACTGTAGAGGGGAGGACCAGTTGCAACAGATGTAAATGGACATAGGAATATTACTGGTTACTGATCAGAAGAAATAGAGTATTAATTTCCTAAATGATAGGTGGAAGCAATTTGGCAGGAGTCCACATTTCTATCCTATTGCGTCTACAGAGGAGCTGTTCACATTGACGGGCGTTGTATTCTGTTGAAAATGTGGGTGAAGTACTGTAACGCCTTATGTGTGTGATGTAATCATCACCCCTGAACTTGGAATCCTGGAAGTAACTGTAGAAGTGCCTGAACCCTGTGGCTGGGTGCCTGCCCCCTTTGCTTCCACTCTTTATCTCGGGGAGATACCTTACTTGGGGTGAGGTTAGTGCTTGGGCTGTGAGAGACTCAGGGCGTTAAAGATGCTAGAGCACTACTTGACTGGGGTAATGAAAAGCGTATGCAAGCGTCTGTTTAAATGTGAGGCTCTTCAAGTAGGAGCTCTGGTGGTGCAGTGCCTAAGGCATTTGACCACTAACCAGAAGGCTGGCGGTTCAAAACCACCAGCCACTCCTTAGAAGGAAGACTGAGCAATCTACTTCCATAGAGATACCTCCTCAGAAACCCAAGGAGGGGGGCTATGAGTTGGAACTGACTCCACGGCAGTGAAGTTTGGTTTTTGGTCTTTTTACTTCAAATATAAATTTCAGAGTAATCATTTATATGTCTTGTTTGCTGTTTTCATTTTATGTCCTTTACTGGCCATTTAGGAGCTCTGGTAGTACAGTGCCTAAGGCATTTGACTGCTAACCAGAAGGCTGGCAGTTCAAACCCACCAGCCACTCCGTGGAAGGAAGACTGGGCAATCCACTTCCATAAATATTTACCACCTTGGAAACCCAAAGGGGGTCGCTGTGAGTCAGAATCGACTTGATGGCAGTGAGTTTAGTTTTTTTTATTTTTCTGGCCATTTGACATCTGTCGCTTTTGTTGCCTCTGTACTAACGTAATGATATTCCAAATTACCCCACTGATTTAATGAAGCTCACTGTTTGTTGAGGCACTTGATTTACTTCTCAGCCAAACCAAGCCCACTGCCATTGAGTTGATTCTGACAGCAACCCCCACTGAGTTTCCGAGGCAGTAAATCTTTACGGAAGTAGATTGCCCCGTCTTCTTTTCATAGAGGGCTAGTGGATTTGAACAACCAACCTTCTGGTTAGTAGTCAAGTGCCTGAGGCACTGCACCACCAGAGCTCCTTCTCAGCCAGTTCTTTAAATAAAAAAATTTAACCTGTAGGTTTGCGCTCTGTCACTGGGGCCTTAGAACAAATCTGGTCCCTCTTCCGTCTGACAAATTAAACAAGAATAATCCTGGTTCCCACATCTTCTTGAGATCATATGTCTAGTTTAGAGAGATTTTCACTGAGAGTTATTAAAATTGTTTTCTTTTTAAGCTTACGATACATAGTGAAGCCAAAAAAAAAAAAAAAAAAACAGTTTCTTAAGTGAAATATGTTACTGTCCATTGATACTGTGGGAGTGAGATTTTGTGTTAGATGAGAGATTTTATCCTTCATAATAATTACAGGAAACTGAGTGCTGTTTGGCAGATGATTATCAGATAAAATACAAAGATTGAATCATATTAGTCATAAAATTGACTGATTGCAATTTGTTTTACAGCATCTTTTGTAGAAGCTATAGCCATAACATGTCTTTCTAGGTAATGATCAATAATGGCTTTACACCAGATAAAAATGATTATGAATTTTGTGCCAAAGTGGAAAACATGATCATCCCTGCACAAGGGCATTTTGGAATATCTGCTGCAACAGGAGGTCTGGCAGGTAAATATGAAACATTCGTGGATTCAGTTTCATCGGAAACAGTATCTTTGAGGACAGATAGACTTGTCCCTTTTAACCTTTGAAGGCTGGTAGAACCTTCCCATAGTCTTGGGTGCCATCTTTTGGTCTGTTGGCGTGCTAATTCTGTCCTCACGTTGTTCTGTGGGTGCACGACTGGTTGGGTGTCAGTGTGTATGCTCTGCAGTGAAGGGACATCGTTAACTGTTCAGGCTTCAAAGGTTCATTGCCAAGTGTTTTAGGAGCCTGAGTGGCTCGTGATATAAAAATGAATTTGGCAACCTGAGGAAATAATATCTGGGGACTAAACTTTAAAACATCTCCCTTTTTTCCTATAGGTGATGATCAGTGATGTTACCATTTGATGTTAATATGTCTTTTGGTTGTATGATACATTGTAGTTTAACCTGTTTTCAAGTATATGGGTTGTTCCTTACAACACCCAGGAAGGAGGTTGGATTGAATTTTCCCTGTTTGTACATGAGCTTGCCAGGCTTAGAAATGATTTTCTGACAATCATATACATGGCCAGACTGGCCAGGCTGGTTTGGATGTCTGACTCCTTAGTCTAGCACTCTGACACTCGCCAGGCTGGTCTGGGTGCCTGGCTCCTCAGTCTAGCTCTCTGTTACACTGCCCTGCTTCTCCTCAGACTAGCTAGCACGCACTGTAGAGTATGTTGCGCCTCCCGATCCCTGCAGAGTGACGGCAGGCATGGAGATGGGTACACAGCAGAAATGAATTGCCATTATTCGGTGGATGTGGCTGGCTGGAATTGGGATTTTGGTTACTGTTCACCAAGTTTGATCCACTGGGTCCCTGTTTTCAGCTTAAGCAGTTTGGGATTTATTTGATTTTTTTAAATATGACTTTAGAAAATGAAACAAAATGAAAAATAACAAACCCACTGCCATTGAGGCGATTCTGACTCATAGCAGCCCTGTGAGTAGAACTGCCCACGAGGGTTTCCAAGGCTGTAAATGCTTGTGGAAGCAGTCTGCCTCATCTTTCTCCTACAGAGCAGCAGGTGGGTTCAAACCGGTGACGTTCGGTTAGCAGCCAAATGCTCTAACCACTGTACCACCAGAGCACTTATGACTTTAAATAAATGAAATGATTAGTATTTGTTGTGTGAGGGAGGCAACTAGGAATGGTGTGTAGACAGACTGACATCATGTGACCTGGGTGCTTGGAGAGTGGAAGGAAGGAGGTGCTCCACCAGGACAGCAGTGTGTGTCGGGCCGTCCGGTCACCAGGAGGGAGCAGGGAGAAGAAGGCAGGAGTGGTACGTGCCACGGGGAAAGTTCAGAGACAGGCACGTCCAGGAAGCGCTTGGAGACTAGGCTGTTGTCCCATTTGGCTCAGGCGTAATCCAGGAAGGATTTGTGGAAAATACGAGAGGGTTTTGGTGCCCCAATCGGGGTCTGGCTGTCTTTGACCGTTCCTGTGTCCATTTCTTCACAGGGCATTGAGTAAACGTCCACTGTATGGCAGATGTTGCTGCATAGTTTGGCTTAGGGCTTCAGAAGTGGACTTAGTTTACTTCTGATGGCAGTCTTTCAGATGAGTATTGTCTGTACCAAATCAGAGCCAATATTATTTTCTTAATTATTTGTAATATAGATCTATAAACTAAATGCACAGCTATAAAAATAATCTGGTTTGAAGCTTTTACAGTGTATTTTTTTCCGGACTTTTTATTTCTAGATGACCATGATGTTCTTTCCTTTCTGACTTTCCAGCTGACTGAGCCTGGAAAAGAACCAGTAAGTGTATACACTTTCCCAAAAAGGCTATTTTCGGTTTAGTGGTACCACCTCATGGCCGAGACTTGGGATGACTGGCCTAGGCTTGGTCTCGTTTCTGCCACTTACCACTGTGGGGTTTTGTGCAAGTCACTTAGCCCACGTAGCCTCCATTTCCTTGGGGTTGAGACACAGTGTTTGTACCAGCCATGTCATAGTGTTGTAAGGATTGTATACAATAGTGCACAGCAAGCACTCTGTAAGAGGTAGTGGATGTTAGTACTTTTTGTTGTTAGTAGTAGTAGTGAGAGTAATTAGCTATGATTTAAATAAGAAAAAATACTTTATATTAACTTTTTAGCTAGTGGTGGGGTAGCTAAAATAAGAGAAAGGAATATATTGAGGCATCTCACTGGTCTTCTCATGTTTTCAATGATCTGTTCTTAAACTCCAAAAAAGCCTACACCAGACAAAGAAATTTCAGAAAAAGAGAAAGAAAAGTATCAGGAAGAATTTGAACACTTTCAGCAAGAATTGGATAAGAAAAAGGAAGAATTCCAGAAGGACCACCCTGACATACAGGGACAACCCAGTGAGTTATGGTGGCCCACTCTCGGTGCTGCGGTGTGGTGAGGCTGGGCACCGGGGTCGGGGTGGGCCACCCTCGGTGCTGCGGTGTGGTGAGGCTGGGCACCGGGGTCGGGGTGGGCCACCCTCGGTGCTGCACTGTGGGGAGGCTGGGGTCATCTGGGCCCTATGTTCGTTCCATCCCTGCCCTCTGAACTGGTA